TTGGGGGGGGGGAGGGGGGGTTTTGGGGGGGAAAAGGGGGGTTTTGGGGGGGGAAAGGGGGGATTTTGGGGTGGCAAAGGGGGATTTTGGGTGGCAAAGGGGGATTTTGGGTGTAAAAGGGGGATTTTGGGTGCAAAAGGAGGATTTTGGGTGGCAAAAGGGGAATTTTGGGGTGGCAAAGGGGGATTTTGGGTGCAAAAGGGGGATTTTGGGTGGCAGAAGGGGATTTTGGGGTGGCAGAGGGGGATTTTGGGTGTAAAAGGGGGATTTTGGGTGGCAAAAGGGGGTTTTGGGGTGGCAAAAGGGGGATTTTGGGGTGGCAAAGGGGGATTTTGGGGTGGCAAAGGGGGATTTTGGGGTGGAAAAGGGGGATTTTAAGGTGGCAAAAGGGGATTTTGGGGGGCAGGGGTTGGCAGAGGATGAGCCCTCGGCAGCAGCAGCGTGTTGCACTCACACTGCTCACACGGGGGGCACAAATCCCAGCCCAGCCCAGGAATCTGCTCAGGGTCAAATCCTTCCTCTGAATCCCGAATTTCCAGGGCTGAGTTGACTTTTTCTGACAAAGGAGCAATAAATTCATTTTCTCTGAAAGACTCCGGTGTCTCAGCGCCGCTCCCTCATTCCTCTCTTTAAAAAATCGTCTCACACAGCAAATTTTCTATTTTATTTCCTTTTTAGTTTCTGTTTTATGTTATAACCTAAAACCGTGTTTACCACACTGCTTAGGAGAATGAACACAGCATCCCTTTCTAGAATGTTCATCTGAATATTTGCAAAAGCCGCTCATAAAATCCCCGTTTGTCACAGCCCGAGGGCCAGGCCACCTCTGAGGGGACAGCCCTGGTGGCACCTGGGGCGGTGGCGCTGGGTGGGCAAAGAGAATTTCCCTGATTGGTGGTGTTGTGGGGGTTTTGGGGGATTGGGGCCACCTCTGCTGGCCCTGTGTCCCCTCTGCTGGCCCTGTGTCACCTCCCCTGGTCCTGTGTCCCTCCTGTGTCCCCTCTCCTGTGTCCCCTCTCCTGGCCCGGTGTCGCCTCCAGGTCACGGGGATCGAGGTCCAGTTGATGGCACTGGTGGCACCAGGCAGTGCTGGTTTGGGGACACCGGGTGGCACTGAGCAGTGCCGGTTTGGGGACACTGTGGACACTGGTGGCACTGGTGGCACTGAGCAGTGTCAGTTTGGGGACATTGGGGACACTGGTGGCACTGAGCAGTGTCAGTTTGGGGACACTGGGGACACTGGTGGCGCTGGTGGCGCCGGGCAGTGCCGGTTTGGGGACACTGTACCCCTCATTCCCAATCCCAAATCCCCCAGCCCCCGTTCCCATCCCAAATCCCCCATTCCCAATCCCACAGACCCCAACCCTCCCAGTGCAGTCCGGGGGGCGTCCCGGGGCTGACCCCAACCCCCGTGGGTGCTGTCCCCAACCCCCGTGGGTGCTGTCCCCAGTCCCCGTGGGTGCTGTCCCCAATCCCGGTGGGTGCTGTCCCCAATCCCCGTGGGTGCTGTCCCCAAACCCCCGTGGGTGCTGTCCCCAATCCCGGTGGGTGCTGTCCCCAACCCCCGTGGGTGCTGTCCCCAGTCTCTGTGGGTGCTGTCCCCAGTCCCGGTGGTGCCACCCTTGTCCCCGTGCCCCCCCCAGGCCTGTGGCCGCTGGCCGGGCCCGGGTGGCACCAGGGTGTCCTCGTCCTGCACCGCGCCATGAGCGGCTTGGGGACAGCCCCGGGCCACCCTCAGCACCCCAGGGTGACACTGAGCCCCCAAGGTGACACCGAGCACCCCAGGGTGACACTGAGCCCCCAAGGTGACACCGAGCACCCCAAGGTGACACTGAACACCCCAGGCTGCCCAGGCTGACACCGAGCACCCCAAGGTGACACCGAGCACCCCAGGGTGACACTGAGCCCTCAAGGTGACACCGAGCACCCCAAGGTGACACTGAACACCCCAAGGTGACACCGAGCACCCCAGGGTGACACTGAGCCCCCAAGGTGACACTGAACACCCCAGGCTGCCCAGGCTGACACCGAGCACCCCAAGGTGACACCGAGCACCCCAGGGTGACACTGAGCCCCCAAGGTGACACCGAGCACCCCAAGGTGACACTGAACACCCCAAGGTGACACCGAGCACCCCAGGGTGACACTGAACACCCCAGGCTGACACCGAGCACCCCAGGGTGACACTGAACACCCCAAAGTGACACCGAGCACCCAAGGGTGACACCGAGCACCCCAGGGTGACACCGAGCACCCCAGGGTGACACCGAGTGTCCTGGCACAGGCTGGCACGGGCTGGCGTTGGGCACGGCTTTACTGGGTGACACGGACACGGCGGTGGCAGCGGCGGTGGCAGCACGACAGGAATGTGGCTCCCGGAGGGAGGGGACAGAGCTGTGACCCCGCGGGCGGCGCGTGGCATTTTTGGGGGCGTTGGTGGCGGTTTTGGGGTAAAATTCTCATTATGAGACAGCAGCGGGCGGGGCTGGCACGGGGGACACTCTGGGGACATCCATGGGGACATCGCGGGGTCCCCTGAGCCCCTCGGTGCGGTGCCAGCCCCGTGTGGGGCAGGGGACAGGGCGGGGACAAGGGACAGGGGGGGTGTCCGCGGGGTCGGCGCCTTCTTTGGTTTGAATGTCGGGAATTTTGGGGTGGGGGGGGACAGGTGGCGCCTCCCGGCACTGCGGGTGGCACCGGGGACATCCTCGGGTGGCTCCTCCGGTCGTGCCCGGCTCCGGGAATGGGGCAAGGTGTCCCATGTCCCTGTGCCAGCCCTGGCAGCGCCCTTTGGTGCACCTTGGGACAGTGAAAATTGTCCCATTTCAATGCCAAAGTGTCCCTACCCATGTCCCTGCTCATGCCAAGGTGTCACTGTCCCATGTCCCTGTCCCTGTGCCATCCCTGGAACTCCCTGTCCCTTAGAGCACCCTGGGACAGTGCAGAGTGTCCCGTGTCCCTGTGCCCTGCCCCTGCCCCACGGCCCGTGTCCCTGCCCATGCCAAGGTGTCCCTGTCCCATCCCTGGAACTCCCTGTCCCTTGGAGCACCCTGGGACAGCGCAGAGTGTCCCTGTCCCGTGTCCCTGTCCCGTGTCCCTGTCCCGTGTCCATCCCTGGAGCTGGAGCTGTCCCTTAGAGCACCCTGGGACAGTGTAGTGTCTCTGTCCCGTGTCCCTGTGCCCTGCCCCTGTCCCACGGCCCGTGTCCCTGCCCATGCCAAGGTGTCCGGGTGTCCGGGGTCCCGACCCTGGTTTATCCTGCTGACAGCCCTGCAGTGACACCCGGCACCGGCTGCTGAGTTTTGTGTCCCGGGGAAACGGGCCGCTGTTTTCCTTCAGGGGCTTGAGGCCGGGTGTGGCCGGCTGCCTGCTGAAATCCCCCCAAATCTCCCCCAAATCTCCCCCCAATTCCCCCACATTTTCCTCCAATTCCCTGTCCCCATCCCTCAGATCACTGGACATTTTCCCCCCCCCCCTCCCTCCCTCCCTCTCTCCCCACGTCCCCATCAGCCACCCCCCATTTTTTTGGGGGGGGGGCAGATCCCCCACCCCCCTTCCCGGGGGTGCCAGCCCCGTACCTCTGCCATCCTCTGGTCCTCCTCGATGGGCACGAACTTGTCGTGCATGCCGTGCACCAGCAGCACGGGCACGGCCAGCTCGGCGTGGTACAGCTCGTCCCCCTCGGGCCAGTACTGCCCGCTCATGGTGGCACGCAGCACGAAGGACGAGACGTTGAAGGCGTTGCCCTCCTTCAGCAGCTGCTTCTCTTTGGCACCTTGGCGGGCAAAGCCGGCCCTGGCACGGGGGGGAGAGGGCTCAGCGCGGAATTCGGGGGGTTGGCAGCAAAGGGGGGCATCCCAGACCTCCCGAAAGTCACGCTTTGCATCCCAGACCCCACAAAAGTCACACTTTGTCACCTCTCTCGGGGTGGCAGTGCCAGGATGAGCCCCAGCCCCACAAAAGTCACACTTTGTCACCTCCCTGGCGGTGGCAGTTGCCAGGATGAACCCCAGCCCCCCAAAAGTCACACTTCGTCACCTCCCTGGCGGTGGCAGTGCCAGAGCCCCTGGGTGGTGGCAGATTTCAGTCCTCAGAAGTCGCTCTGTCAGCTTCCTTGGGGTGGCAGTGCCAGGATGAACCCCAGCCCCCCAAAAGTCACACTTTGTCACCTCCCTCAGGGTGGCAGTGCCAGGGTGAGCCTCCTGAGAGGTGGCACAAATTCCACACTCTGCCCCCTTCCTCGGGGTGGCAGTGCCAGGGTGAGCCCCTGGGTGGTGGCAGGGGATTCCAGCCCTCAAAAGTCACTCTCTGTCCCCTCCCTCAGGATGGTAGTGCCAGGATGGTTTATCCTGCTGACAGCCCTGCAGTGACACCGGCACCGGCTGCTGAGTTTGGTGTCCCAGGGAAACGGGCCGCTGTTTTCCTTCAGGGGCTTGAGGCCGGGTGTGGCCGGCTGCCTGCTGAAATCCCCCCAAATCTCCCCCAAATCTCCCCCCAATTCCCCCACATTTTCCTCCAATTCCTCCAAATCTCACCTAAACCCCCAAATCTCCCCCTAAACTGCCCAAATTCCCATTTTCCCCCAGAAGCTGCTGCAGTGCCCCTATTCCTTCTTTGACGTCGTTTACATCCACAACGGGCTGGACGAGGAGGACGAGAGCAGCTGGAAGGTAAAGGGGACAAATTCCCCTAAATTCCCCAAATTCCCCACAGTTCCTTCCAATTCCTCTCTTTCCTCCCCAAATCCTCTTTCCCCCCCCCCCAAAATTCCCCCATTTTCCCCTCATTTGTCCCCATTTTTCCTTTTTTAATTTTCTTTCATTCTTTCTTATTCTTAATTTTTCCCCCATTTCCCCCCCGGGACCCCCCTGGGTGACATGGGACCCCCTCTGGGTGGCACGGGACCCCCCCTGGGTGGCACAGGAGCCCCCCTGGGTGGCACAGGACCCTTCCCCAAGCTGTGACTCCCTTGAGGAAGCCCCAAGCCAGGCAGGGGTCAGGCAGTGCAGCACACACACACAGGGGGGCACAGGAAGCCCCCAGCCCCAGAAGGTGTCCCCTCCCTCAGCAGTGGTAGTGCCAGGCTGACCCCTGGGGGACATGGGACCCCCTCTGGGTGGCACGGGACCCCTCCCCAGGCTTGACTCACTTGAGGAAGCTCAAGGCCAGGCAGGGGGACAGGCAGTGCAGCACACATACACAGGGGGCACAGGAAGCCCCCAGCCCCAGAAGGTGTCCCCTCCCTCAGCAGTGGTAGTGCCAGGCTGACCCCTGGGGGACATGGGACCCCCTCTGGGTGGCACGGGACCCCTCCCCAGGCTTGACTCACTTGAGGAAGCTCAAGGCCAGGCAGGGGGACAGGCAGTGCAGCACACATACACAGGGGGCACAGGAAGCCCCCAGCCCCAGAAGGTGTCCCCTCCCTCAGCAGTGGTAGTGCCAGGCTGACCCCTGGGGGACATGGGACCCCCTCTGGGTGGCACGGGACCCCTCCCCAGGCTTGACTCACTTGAGGAAGCTCAAGGCCAGGCAGGGGGACAGGCAGTGCAGCACACACACACAGGGGGGCACAGGAAGCCCCCAGCCCCAGAAGGTGTCCCCTCCCTCAGCAGTGGCAGTGCCAGGCTGACCCCTGGGTGACATGGGACCCCCTCTGGGTGGCACGGGACTCCTCCCCAGGCTTGACTCACTTGAGGAAGCTCCAGGCCAGGCAGGGGGACAGGCAGTGCAGCACACACACACGGGGGCACAGGAAGCCCCCAGCCCCCTGGCAATGCCAAGGTGCCCCCTGGGTGGCACAGGACCTCCTCCAGGTGGCACAGGACCGCTCCCCAGGCTGTGACTCACTTGAGGAAGCTCCAGGCCAGGCAGGGGGACAGGCAGTGCAGCACACACACACGGGGGCACAGGAAGCCCCCAGCCCCCTGGCAATGCCAAGGTGCCCCCTGGGTGGCACAGGACCCCCTCTGGGTGGCACGGGACCCACCCTGGGTGGCACAGGACCTCCTCCAGGTGGCACAGGACCCCTCCCCAGGCTGTGACTCACTTGAGGAAGCTCCAGGCCAGGCAGGGGGACAGGCAGTGCAGCACGCAGGGCGGCAGGTTGAAGATGGAGCACAGGCTGGGCTCCAGCGCCGTGGGGCCGCCCCCGTTGATCATGATCACCTTGTGCACCAGCTCGGGGTACTCGTGAGCCAGGAACGTGCAGAAGGACACCCTGAAAGGGTTAAAAATGACCACAGAATTATTGGCTTGCGCTATTTTAATTATTAATGATAGCAATTTTATTAATTATATTGATTGTGATCGCTTTGTGCACCAGGTCGGGGTACTCATGAGACAGGAACGTGCAGAAGAACACCCTGAAAGGGTTAAAAATAACCACGGAGTGCTTGGCTTTCACTATTTTAAACACTAATGATAGGAATTATAGCAATTATAGTAATTTTATTAATTATATTAATTAGTTGATTGTGATCACTTTGTGCCCCAGCTCCGGGCACTTTGTACCAGGAAGGTGCAGAAGGACACCCTGAAAGGGTTAAAATAACCACAGAGTTATTGGCTTTCCCCATTTTAATTATTAATTACAGTAATTATAGTAACTTCATTAATTATATTAGTTGATTGTGATCACTTTGTGCCCCAGCTCTGGGCACTCCTGTGCCAGGAAGGTGCAGAAGGACACCCTGAAAGGGTTAAAAATAACCACGGAGTGCACGGCTTTCCCCATTTCAATTATTAATTACACTAATTACATTGATGATATTGATAGTGATCACTTTGTGCCAGGAAGGTGCAGAAGGACGCCCTGAGGGGACATGGGGACACGGTGCCAGCGTGGCAGGGACGGGGACAGCGGGGCAAGGTGTCCCTGTGCCACCCCGGGGTCCCATGGCCGTGTCCCTGTCCCTGTGCCATCCCTGGGGCCCCATGGCCGTGTCCCTGTGCCACCCCTGGGGTCCCATGGCCGTGTCCCTGTCCCTGTGCCACCCCTGGGGTCCCATGGCCGTGTCCCTGTCCCTGTGCCATCCCTGGGGCCCCATGGCCGTGTCCCTGTGCCACCCCTGGGGCCCCATGTCCCTGTCCCTGTGCCATCCCTGGGGTCCCATGGCCGTGTCCCTGTGCCATCCCTGGGGTCCCATGGCCGTGTCCCTGTCCCTGTGCCATCCCTGGGGTCCCATGGCCGTGTCCCTGTGCCATCCCTGGGGTCCCATGGCCGTGTCCCTGTCCCTGTGCCATCCCTGGCAGCGTCCCTTGGAGCGCCCTGGGACAGGGCAGTGCTCCATGCCAATCCAAGGTGTCCCTGCCATGTCCCTGCCACGTCCCTGCCCATGCCAAGGTGTCCCTGCCATGTCCCTGCCCATGTCCCATGTCCCTGCCCATGCCAAGATGTCCCTGCCCATGTCTCATGTTCCATGTCCCTGCCATATCCCTGCCCATGTCCCATGCCTCTGCCCATGTCTCTGCCCATGCCAAGGTGTCCCTGCCATGTCCCTGCCCATTCCAAGGTGTCCCTGCCATGTCCCTGCCCATGCCAAGGTGTCCCTGCCATGTCCCTGCCCATGTCCCATGTCCCTGCCCATGCCAAGGTGTCCCTGCCCATGCCAAGGTGTCCCTGCCATGTCCCTGCCCATGTCCCATGTCCCTGCCCATGCCAAGATGTCCCTGCCCATGTCTCATGTTCCATGTCCCTGCCATATCCCTGCCCATGTCCCATGCCTCTGCCCATGTCTCTGCCCATGCCAAGGTGTCCCTGCCATGTCCCTGCCCATTCCAAGGTGTCCCTGCCATGTCCCTGCCCATGCCAAGGGGGACAGTGCAGTGCTCCGTGCCAATCCAAGGTGTCCCTGCCATGTCCCTGTCCCATGTCCCATGTCCCACATCCCTGCCTATGCCAAGATGTCCCTGCCCATGTCCCATGTTCCATGTCCCTGCCATGTCCCTGCCCATGCCAAGGTGTCCCTGCCATGTCCCTGCCCATGTCCCATGTCCCTGTCCCATGCCCCTGCCCATGTCCCTACCCATTCCAAGGTGTCCCTGCCCATGTCCCATTTCCCATGTCCCTGCCATGTCCCTACCCATGCCAAGGTGTCCCTGCCATGTCCCATGTCCCTACCATGTCCCTGCCCATGTCCCATGTCCCTGCCCATGCCAAGGTGTCCCTGCCCATCCCTGTGCCACCCTGGCAGTGTCCCTCGGTTCCCGAGGGGATTTCCCCCTCCCTCCCCACCCCAAGGCTCCAGCAGCCACCCCACATTTGGGGGGCAGAGTCCCCAACCCCCTTTGAGGGCAGGACTTGGTGCCCCCTGCCCAGCCCAGCCCCCGGTGCCCCCCAGGCTGCCCCGGCCTCATCCCGGGCCTTCTCCTCGTCATGTCCCTGCCCATGTCCCATGTCCCATGTCCCTGCCCATGCCAAGGTGTCCCTGCCATGTCCCATGTCCCTGTCCCTGCCCATGCCAAGGTGTCCCTGCCCATCCCTGTGCCACCCTGGCAGTGTCCCTCGGTTCCCGAGGGGATTTCCCCCTCCCTCCCCATCCCAAGGCTCCAGCAGCCACCCCACATTTGGGGGGCAGAGTCCCCAACCCCCTTTGAGGGCAGGACTTGGTGCCCCCTGCCCAGCCCAGCCCCCGGTGCCCCCCAGGCTGCCCCGGCCTCATCCCGGGCCTTCTCCTCGTTAGGCTCCACCTAATCAGGAGCCCTAATCCTGGCTTATCCTATTTATAGTCCCTGCCCTTGCACTTCCCTCTCGGGATTAGCTGGGCACTGAGATGGTGCCCACAACAAGGGCACCCAGGAGCTCTGAATCCTTGGAGAAACGGGATGAAAATGGGATAAAAATGGGATAAATGGGATAAAAATGGGATAAACGGCATAAAAATGGGATAAAAAGAATGGGAATCCCAAACTCCTAAACTATGGGATTTGTGACCATTCCCATTTTCCAGGATGATCCCACCCCACTCCCAGCCCCTTACCCATAGGAGTGCCCAATGAGGATGTTCCTTTTCTTGGGAAACACTTCAACAGAACCCAAGGATTCTGGAGCTCCAACTCCCAGAATAAATGGGATCAATCCCTCAAAATGGGAACCCCACTCTCCTAAAACCCGGGATTTGTGACCATTCCCATTTTCCAGCCCATTCCCAGCTCCTTACTTGTAGGAGTGCCCGATGAGAATGTTCCATTTCTTGGCGTAGCGCTTGAACAGAGCCCAAGGATTCTAGAGCTCCAACTCCCAGGATAATCCCAAAACGGGAACCCCACTCCCCTAAAACCTGGGATTTGTGACCATTCCCATTTTCCAGGATGATCCCAGCTGCTTACCCATAGGAGTGCCCCAGTGAGGATGTTCTTTTTGTTGAGGATGTTCTTTTTGTTTGGTGTTCAACAGAGCCCAAGGATTCTGGAGCTCCAACTCCCAGAATAAATGGGATCAATCCCTCAAAATGGGAACTCCACTCCCCTAAAACCCGGGATTTGTGTCCATTCCCATTTTCCAGGATGATCCCAGCCCCTTACCCATAGGAGTGCCCCATGAGGATGTTCCTTTCCTTGGCATAGCACTTGAACAGAACCCAAGGATTCTGGAGCTCCAACTCCCAGAATAAATGGGATCAATCCCTCAAAACGGGAACCCCACACCCCTAAACCCCGGGATTTGTGTCCATTCCCATTCTCCACCCCATTCCCAGCCCCTCACCCGTAGGAGTGCCCGATGAGGATGTTCCTTTTCTTGGCGTAGCGCTTGAACACGGCCCTCATGTCCTCGGCCAGCGCGTAGAAGGTGTAGGCGGCGGCCACGGGCGGCGCCGAGCTGCAGCCGTGCCCCGCCAAATCCGGCGCCACCACCTCGTAGCCCAGCTTGGAGAAGAACTCCAGCTGCTCCTTCCAGATGTCCAAAGAGCCGCCGACGCCGTGGATGAAGAACAGCACCACGTCCCCGTGCGTGCCCTTGCAGCTGGTGATGCGCTTCTTGCAGTCCACCGTCACCACCCTCTTGGGCTTGCGCTTGCGGCGCTTGGCCGCCGCTCCGGCGGGATCCGGCGCTCCCGGCTCGCCGTTGGCGTCGGGCAGCGGGCACCGCGGGGCCTGGGCCTCGCTCAGGTTCTCGATCAGCAGCTGCCCGTTGCGGTAGAGCGTGATGCGGCGCGGGCAGCGCACGGCGCCGCGCTCCGGGGAGCGCGGGGAGCGCGGGGAGCGCGGGCGCTCGGGAACGCTGTGGCGGATGCGGAGGATCCGGCCGGGCTTCACCTCCAGGAAGGTGAAGCCGTCGCTGGACTCAACGCTGTCCAGAGGCCCCACGGCGTTGGGGGTCTTGCCCAGCAGGCAGCAGAGGAAGCCGTCGGTGATGCTGGTCAGCATGGTGATGCCTGGGGAAATGGGGGGAAATCGGGGGGAAATGGGGTTCAGTCCCAGTTCCAGCGGAGGGTTGTGGCAGTGGGAACCTGTTGGTGATGCTGGTCAGCATGGGGATCCATGGAAAATGGGGAAATGGGGGAAAATTGGGGGGAAATGTGGGAAGAACGTGGGGGAAATGGGGGGAAAATGGGCTGGGAAATGGGGCAAATAGGGATTCAGCCCTGATTCCAGCAGCTGGGGACCTGTCAGTGATGCTGGTCAGCATTGTGATCCCTTGAAAAATGGGGAAAATGTGGGGAAATGGGGAGAAAATGGGGAAAATGGGGTTCAGTCCCAGTTCCAGCAGAGGGTTGTGGCAGTGGGAACCTGTTGGTGATGCTGGTCAACATGGGGATCCATAGAAAATGGGGGAAAATAGGGGGAAAATGGGGGGAAATGGGGGGAAAATTTAGGCAAAATGTTGGATAATGGGGAAGGAAAAATGGGGAAAATGTGGGAAAATTGGGGGAAATGGGGAGAAAATGGGGAAAATGGGATTCAGTCCTAGTTCCAGCAGAGGGTTGTGGCAGTGGGAACCTGTTGGTGATGCTGGTCAACATGGGGATCCATAGAAAATGGGGGAAAATAGGGGGAAAATGGGGGGAAATGGGGGGAAAATTTAGGCAAAATGTTGGATAATGGGGAAAAAAACATGGGGAAATGGGGGGGAAAATGTGAAAATGGGGGGGAAACAGGGTTGGGCAAAATGTTGGATAATGGCGAATAATGGGGGGAAATGGGGAAAAAAACATGGGGAAATGGGGGGGAAAATGTGAAAATGGGGGGGAAACAGGGAAAAATGGGGAAGACAGGAATTCAGCCCTGATTCCAGCAGCTGGGGACCTGTCAGTGATGCTGGTCAGCATTGTGGTCCCTGAAAAATGGGGGAAAATGTGGGAAAACAGGGAAAGCATGGAAAAATGTGGAAAACCAGGGGAAAATGTGGAAACGTAGAAAATTCCCCCTCCTGCTTTTTTCTGGGGCACATCCCTGTCCCCAAGCCCTGGAGTTCCCATCACAGCTCTTGGAAAAGGGATTTGTTCTGGCTGAAGGAAAAACCTGGGAAAAAAAAAAAGCCTGTTCGGAACAGAAAATTCCCTTTTCCCAACAAATGTGGAGCTCAGGGAAGCTCCAGCCACGGGAATTCATTATTTATCCCATAAAAGATAAAAATTTATCCTGCAAAATTGAAATGTTTGTCCCATTAAATATCAACACGGCTGCGGTCGGAAGCAGCATCCCAGGTGGGAATTAAAATTGAATTAAAATCGAATTAAAATCTCTCCACAAAACAAACGAAGGAATGTGGGGGGGTGGGATTATCCTGGCTGTTCCCAAAGCTCGCTGCTGGAGTTGAAATCTTGGGATTTTGGGAATATTCAGGGAGAAGCTGGTGGGAATGGGGGCACGGAGGTTGGGAATGGGTTAATTGTGGCTGAGGGGAAAACGAACGCGGTGAATTATTGATGGCAGCGGGAGGAGCGAGCGGGATCCGAGCGCTGGTCCTGAGGGATCCTGAGCCCATTCCTGTGGGATCCTGATCCCAGATCCCCTTCCTGAGGGATCCCAGATCCCAAATCCCATTCCAGCAGGATCTCAGATTCCATTCCAGCAGGATCCCAAATCCCATTCCAGCAGCATCCCAGTTCCCATTCCAGCAGGATCCCAGTTCCCATTCCAGCAGGATCCCAGTTCCCATTCCAGCAGGATCCCAGTTCCCATTCCAGCAGGATCTCAGATCCCATTCCTGTGGGATCCCAGATCCCAGTTCCCATTCCTGCAGGACCCCAGAGATCCATTCCCTGGATCTGCCCATTCCCGATGGAAATCCAGACAAACCCACCTGATATCCTGGAATTAAGGCTGGAAAATCCCTCTGGCATCCCAAAATCCAACCTGCCCAGAGCTTCCAGGGGTAAATCCCAGCCTCACTCCTGGATCCCCATATTCCCAAATTCCCAGATTTCTGGATCATGGATTCCTGGATTCCCAGATTCCCAGATTCCTGGATTCCCATATTCCTGAATTCCAGATCCCCAGCTCCTCAGATGTCCAGATTCCCAGATATCAAGATCCCCAGATTCCCGGATTCCCAGATCCTCACATTCCCAGATCCCTGGATCCCCAGATTCCCGGATTCCTGGATTCCCAGATCCCCACATTCCCAGATTCCTGGATTCCCAGATCCCCACATTCCCAGATTCCCAGATTCCTGGATTCCCAGATTCCCGGATTCCCAGATTCCTGGATTCCCAGATTCCCGGATTCCCGGATTCCCAGATCCCCACATTCCCAGATTCCCGGATTCCCAGATTCCTGGATTCCCAGATTCCTGGATCCCCAGATTCCCGTCTCCCGTCTCCCACCTCCCCCGCGCTCCGTGCCCGGAACATCCAGGTTGGAAAGGCTGGAGCAGGATCCCGATGGATGCGGGAAGGCGGGAATGGTGCCGGTTGCCATGGAAACGGGCTGGGGTGGGGGGGGGAATTATCCCAACCAGGCTCCTTCCCAGCCCCCTCCGGCTGCCCGAGGGATCCCTGGGAAATCGGGAATCTGGGAATCTGGGATCCAGGAATCTGGGAATCCAGGATCTGGGAATTCGGGAATCTGGGAGTTTGGGAATTCAGGAATCTGGGAATTTGGGAATTCGGGAATCTGGGAATTCAGGAATTTGGGAATCTAGGATCTGGGAATCTGGGAATCTAGGAATGCAGAATCTGGGAATCCAGGATCTGGGAATTCAGGAATGTGGGAAATTTGGAATCCAGGAATATGAGAATCTGGAAATATGGGAATCTGTGAGTTCAGGAATCTGTGAGTTCAGGAATCTGGGAATCTGGGAATTCAGGATTTCAGGAATTCAGGATTTTGGGAATTTGGGAATCCAGTGCCTGTTATGTAAGGCTGGGAATGGAAATGAGGTGGGAATGAAGGGATCCAGCCGAGGGATCCTGCCTTGGGATCCTGGCACCGGGACTGGCACAGGGGACACGGGAATGGCACAGGGGACTGGGGATCAGGGTTTGGGGTTGGGATCAGGATTTGGGATCAGGATTTGGAATCTGGGGTTGGGATCAGGGTTTGGGATCTGGGGTTGGGATCAGGGTTTGGAATCAGGAGCATTTGGGATCTGGGGTTGGGATCAGGATTTGGGATCTGGGTTTGGAATCAGGGTTTGGAATCAGGAGCCTTTGGGATCTGGGTTTGGGATCAGGATTTGGGATCTGGGTTTGGAATCAGGGTTTGGGATCTGGGGTTGGGATCAGGGTTTGGAATCAGGAGCCTTTGGGATCAGGGTTTGGGATCAGGATTTGGGATCTGGGTTTGGGATCAGGGTTTGGGATCTGGGGTTGGGATCAGGGTTTGGAATCAGGAGCCTTTGGGATCAGGGTTTGGGATCAGGGGTTGGGATCTGGGTTTGGAATCAGGGTTTGGAATCAGGAGCCTTTGGGATCTGGGTTTGGGATCAGGATTTGGGATCTGGGTTTGGGATCAGGCACTGGAACAGCTCAGCCTCTCCCCTGCCACGGGCAGATTTTCCCAAAATTCCAGCCGAAATTCCTGCGGGATCAGAGCCCACTGCCCCCCCCCCCAGCAATCCTTCCCGGCCGTTGCATCACGAGGGGAGGAAGGAATGAAGGAAGAAATAAGGGAAGGAATGAAGGAAGGAATGAAGGAAGGGATAAAGGAAGGAACGAAGGAATGAAGGGATAAAGGAAGGAACGAAGGAAGCTTTTCCCAGGCTGGGTTTCCAGGATAATTCCCCCTCCTTTTCCCCCTCCCTGGCGCACCTGCACAAATCCGGGTTTTTCGCGGCTCCTCTCTGCCCCACAACATCCCAACCCCCCTCGCATCCCAGATTTTTTTTTTTTCCCCCCCATTTTTGGGTCACCCCCACCCCCAGCAGCAGGACATTCCCGCAGGGAAAAAAGCGCCGCTCACCTCATCGATGGCCCGGGGGCTCCGGGGATGCGGGGTGAGGAAAAAAAATCCTGGAATTGCGCAGAATTCCCGCTGCAAATCCTGGAATTGCGCAGGATTCCCGCTGCAAATCCTGGAATTCCGCAGGATTCCCGGTGGAGAGGCGGAGCAGGGCGGTGAAAATCCCGATTTTTTTTTTTCCAGGCGTTTTTTTTGGGGGGGGGAGAGGGAGGGAATTCCTTCAGCCCCCCCCGAAAATTCCCCAAAATCCCGAAAATTGCCCAAACCCCCCGAAGTGGCGGCCGTGCCCGCTCCGGGGGCGCTCCGGGCTCGTCCTTGGAGCGGTCGCCATGGAAAAGGCAAAGCCCAAAGGCGAGAGGGGGGCGGGACCGCGGCTGATGGACAGGAGGGGACAGGAGGGGACAGGGGCAGGGATGGGGACGGGGACAGGAGGGGACAGGGATGGGGACAGGAGGGGACAGGGGCAGGGATGGGGATGGGGACAGGAGGAGACAGGGGTGGGGACAGGGACAGGAGGGGACAGGGATGGGGACGGGGACAGGGGACAGGGATAAGGGAAAGGGACAGGGACGGGGACAAGGATGGGGACAGGGATGGGGACAGGAGGGGACAGGGGACAGGGATGGGGACAGGAGGGGACAGGGATGGGGACAGGGATGGGGACAGCTACAGGGACTGATGGACACCACGAGGGGCCACTGAGAGCTGGGGGCCGCGGCAAGGACAAGAGGGGACAAGGGGGACAGGAATAAGGGAAAGGGACAGTAGGGGACAGGGATAAGGGAAAGGGACAGTAGGGGACAGGGATAAGGGAAAGGGACAGTAGGGGACAGGGATAACAGGGATGGGGACAGGGATAAGGGAAAGGGACAGTAGGGGACAGGGACAGAGGTGGCATTTGGGACGGGGTGGTGACACCGTGGTGCTCGTGTGGTGGCAAAGGGGGCGAGTGCCATGAGAGTGGCAGTGCCACCAACGTGTCACACGCGTGGCAGTGCCAGGGGTGTGTCACTGCCACCCCCAGGAGGCCGAACACCAAAGCAGGGCTGAGTTTTGGGTTTATTTCCCCAGATTTTGGGTTTATTTGCCGGGCCACAAAAGCCGGGAGGGAAAAACCCTGGAGCTGCTCCTGCTCTTGGGATAGGGCTGGGATTGATCCCCAAAAGGAAAATCCTGGAATTGTCTGGCTCAGAGAGACCCGAAATCCCAGCCAGTCCCATCTTGGACCATCCCAGGCTGCTCCCAGCTTTCCTTGGACATTCCAGGGCTGGAATTCCCTCGCATTTCCTCCCAGGCAGGAATTCCTTCCCAAAATCCTGCCCAAATCTCCCTTTTCCGGTCCCAAATCCGCTCCCTGTGTCCTGTCCCTCCATCCCTTGTCCCAAGTCCCTCTCCAGCTCTCCTGGAGCCCTTTCAGAGCGGCTTCATGGCCTGTCGCGACATCCTGGGGGACAACCGACAGCCCCCGAGGCGACAAGGCCGCAGTGGCGCCGTTGCCATGGTAACTCCGCCACGACCCCAGGGGACTACAACCCCCATCAGCCCTTGCGGCGCAACGCCGGCTGTGATTGGCTGAGAGGACGGAGCCAATGGGAAACGGCGTTGTTGGCTGGCGGAGCAAAATGGCGGTGCTGGGCCCGGTGTGGGCGCGGGCCGGGAGCCGCAGGTACCGGGAGGGGAAATCCCAACCTTAAAATTCCAAATTTATCCTTTATTTCCCTCTCCTCACTCCTTGTTCTGCTTTAATTTCCCCCCAAGCTTTTCCCTGCTGCGTGGTTTTCCCTTCCCGCTGCTCCCAAACGCTCTGGAGCCTCTCCCCGGGCCTTCCACCGCCGCCGTTCTCTGCCGCCACCCGGTCCCAGCGTGGAATTTCCGACAAATCCGTGAAAAATCCCGGGGCAACGAGTACCAGCCCAACAACTGGAAGCGGAAGAAGACTCACGGCTGGATCAAACGGATCAGAACTCCCGGCGGGGTCGCCGTGATCTTGCGGCGGATGCTGAAGGGCAGGAAATCCCTGAGCCACTGAGGGAGCCCCGGGAATTCTGCGGGAATTCTGCTCCGGGATGGGCCCGGAGGGGGTGCCCAGCCCTGCTGGCCCTGTCACTCTGTGCCTCTGAGGGCTTTGGGGCTCGGCTGCTGCTTCAGCTGTTAAATTATCCTCGCCTTTTCCGCGCGTTTATTCCGAGTTTTTTTTTTAATTTCGTGTTTATAAACGTGGAAATGCGGAGTGTGTTGAAATCCCAGCGTGTCGCCTGGAAGTTGCTGCGTTAATTAGGGCGGGGGGTTTAATGAGGAGGGGGATCTGGCGCGTTCCGGGGCGGATATTTGAGAAGGATGGAGGGAGGGCGTGCGGAATTAGGGGATAGAACTCAGGTTTTCTTCACTCAGCAGCGCCTCCGCCCCATCCTCTGCGCTCCTGATTCCAGCATCACCTCTGGGATGGGATACAGGGAAGGAATTATCCTCTTTTTCCTCGCGCCGCTAATGAGCCGCCGCTTAATGAGCCGCTCCTTAAATGAAGAGCGGTGTCGCCGCCCAAACTACAACTCCCAGCATGCCCCGCGCTCGCTCCATCCGGGTCCTCCCGCGCTGCGCCCGCCCCGCCCTTCCGCGCGGGCACTTCCTGCTTCAACCCAACTTTCCCATCGGTGATTGACGTGCGCGACTCCCAATAGCAACGCAGCGTTCCGCGGCGCGGACCAATCGGCGCGCACGAGGCGGGCGGCCATGACAGTGGGCGGGCCGGGGCGGCTCCTCCCGGCTGGCGGCGGCGAAGATGGTACGTGAGCCCCCCGCCGCAATGGCGGCCCCGCGCCGGCCTCGGCGGCCCGCCCGCGGCTCCCGGGCCCC